CCGAAGACCCACATTGGTTTGCTCATCGGGGGAATGACGGGGAGGGTAAGGTGGCCATATACTGAAGGAGCGACAAAAATTCCCCGCCGGCGAAGTGCGTCCACGCCAACGGGGAAGTGGTTGCAGCCGTGTGGGGGGCCATTGCGGTAGTCGGGGTTTATGTCTCCCCCGCAAAGAGCCGGGCCCAATTTGAAGACCTGATGGACAGGGTGGGGGAGGACATGAGAACCAAGTGCCTCCCCCGCCCGACGGTCCTGGCGGGGGACTTCAACGCCAAAGCCAGGCGTTGGGGTTGCCCCCGGGACAGTCCACAGGGCCTGGCTCTTATGGAGTGGGCGGCGAGCCTGGACCTTACTCTCCTCAACGTAGGGGTGGGAGAGTACCTGTGTCCGCGCGCAGGGCGAATCCATCGTGGACTTAACTTGGGCCACGCGTCCTGCGTGCGGGCTGATACAGGCCTGGAGGGTGGTCACAAAGTTGGAGTCACTTTCGGACCACCTCTACATAGAGGTGGTCCTGACCGCCACCCCCCAGGAAGTGTCGGCTCGCCGCCAGGAAGGAGGGAATACCCCTCCGCGAAGATGGGCCCTCACAGGGTTGNAAGATGGGCCCTCACACGGTTGAAGGAGGACGCGTTGTTGGCCTCCATCCGTGCGGCGATCTGGGTTTCCGAGGAGCCCGACCTCGGGACCCGGGAAGCAATCGAGGAGGAAGTGGCGGGACTCGGGGCCATGATGGAGAAGGCTTGTGATGCCGCCATGCCCCGAGCCCACCGCTTGTCGTTCCGGTCCGCCTACTGGTGGACGGCGGAGATTGCGGAAAAGAGGCGATCCGCCGTCCACTGGAGGAGATTGCTCCAAAGAGCCAGGCGGACCGGCAATGCCGCACGGACGGAGGAGGCACAGGAGGGCTACCGAGCTGCACGGACCCTCCTGTGCGCGAAAATCGGGGAGGCGAAGGGCATTGCCTGGACCGAGCTGCTGGAGACCCTGGACTCCGATCCGTGGAGGCGACCGTACCGCCTAGTTAGGCGTAAAATGAAAGGTCGGTCGCCCCCTGTAACGGAGACTCTGGACCCTCGGCTCGTCGACG